TTTACAATATCCCAGACAAACCCGGTGACTGCATCATGTGGGACGTTGTGGAACTCTTAACTTATTTCAAGTGTCATCTAAATCGCCCGTTTCTTTGTGAAATACCACAATGATCACTTGGGCAAGTTGTTTTGTTGTAATATTGAAAACGAGTTTTTCTTAAATGAACAGCTCTTCACGAAATTGGTATACTAGTTACATTGTACTTATAATTTTAAAACAGAATTAACATATTTCTGACCTATGATTTTTTTTTATAATTGTAAATGTAAATGCATTTTTCTATTACTGTTCTCTGTGTATTGAATATTTGTACAGATGTAATGTTCACTTTAATTTGTGTCGACAAATCAACAAATACATCCTTAAGCTGTCTGTCTCTAGATTTAGACGTGCATGTTTGTAAACAAATGCATGCGAAAAGTTCGAAAAATAGACAAGAACCTTGTAAAGAGTTTGTGATGATCCTTATCATTCAATAAAAGAAAATATTACGCACACAGATTACGGTATATATACAAAGATCACTCTTTATAGATTAATGTAACCCACTTTATTGAAACATTTTCATATTTGTGTCATAGAAACTTTCTCATTGATGCAAGTACTATTTTTTCAGCTTTTGACAAATTCTATCTATTTAGAACACTAAAAATTGGCTTATTTTTTACATGGTGAGTCTAGAATTATTATATACTTCTTCAAGTAAAATTTTAAATTGCAAAGTCAGCATGATCTACAATTATTAATAGAGATATCAGACCCATAGCAACAGTTTCAAAAGTTGGGGGGGGGGGGGCAACTTCCCAAGAAAGTCTGACGAGCAAAACAACAACAACAACAAAAAAAACCTAAGGGTGTGTGTGTGTGTGTGGGGGGGGGGGGGGGGTCAACGGGCCTTGCACCTTTTGAATTGAAGTTTACTATAGTGATGTATTCTATTTTTAAAGATTGGTGAGTAATAAGACATTGATTAAATTCTCCGGCCCGAGGAAAAACATATTTGAGGATTTTATCTCAACACAAGTGATTGACCATCTAAAAATATCTTCTGAATACTTTATTAAAGATTCCAAGACGATATGCCATTTGATTTTTTCTTTTATATATCTTATTTTAACTCGATCATGACCGATATAACTGTCTGTATAAAAAAAAAATTAATTCAAGGATTTTTCATTGACAAATTTGTTATGAATTTTCGCTGTAATTTTAATTTTAATTAAAAATTACAAGTTACATATTACAAGTTAAAAATTACAAATTAAAATTACAATGTAATTTTAATTACGCTGTAATTTACTGTAAAATGATACATGTAACAGACAACTCTAAACGCGGGTATTTCAAAGATTAGCTCAAGTACAACTGTATGATTTATCCAGAGATTGAGCTAGATGGCGTACAATAACGCAAGATCCATATTGTACGGATGTTTTTTTAATTCTAAAATACTCAGCATATTGGATAATTATTTCGAGAAAAAAAACCCCGTTTGTTATGATTGCAATAAATGACGTACATGTAGATTAACAAAATAGGGGAGAAAGAAAACAAAACGCATCTATAGAGTTTGGCGGAGTAAGTTGGCACGACTTAAAATCAGCAGGCTTAAAAAGAAATGCAGCGAACGGTGCAGATCCCGGAAACATGTACAGGCCACTATCATCCGGACTGACCAATCAAAGACAAGCATTCCAAGGTACTGGTACGCAGTTGCAGAGATAAATGAAATTTTCTCCATTGAGTCATGTTGAATTGCAGGTAATAAAGTTAAAGTGCAATGCTTGAGTTATATAAACGTAAACAAATCTGGTTGACCTTTTTTGTTTCTGATGCACCATTGAATATGTACATGTATACATGTAAATACTTCATGTAGTATGGATAACACTGAATATTGTTAAAAAAAAAGAAAGAAAAAAAAGCAAATTCAAAGAATTGTGGTCCCCCGCTGTCGGTGTTTTAGTGGATATGATGCCATTATTTATGGCATATTGTGTCAAATTGTACGCCCTATCATATGTCATGCAAGAGTAATCACAAAAAAGTTAATTTTTTTGAAAATTAGGTCAAACATGAAGGTCAAGGTCAAGAGATAAAAAATTATAGCATGCTTGGAAACATCTTGTTACAGACAATGCATATGTCAAGTATGAAAACCCTATCTCTTCTCTTTCAGAAAAGGAAAAAGTTAGAAGGAAAGACAACATTTTTGAAAAGTAGGTTAAACATCAGGTCAAGGTCACGGGGTCAAAAATCATGGTGTATTTAGAAAGGTCTTGTCACAGGTAATACACATGTATAATATGAAAGTCCTATCTCTTCTCATTCAAAAGTTATGACCAATGTTAATTTTTTTTTTGACAGACTGACAGACGGACAGACGAATGAGATTTAATGTCCTCTCGCGGGGGACAAAAAAAAAACCCAAAACAAAACAAAACAAAACAAAAAAAAAAACAAAAAAAAAAAAAACATTCGAGGGGTGAAAATTCTCAACTACATGCAGTATTTCATACATTATACTGAATAATTCATACAAATACTATTAACAATGAAACCTGCGTGCATTTGATTTTTTAAAAAGATAATGGTGACTGTTGCCACGTTATCTCACGCTTGAGATCGAGGTTCCTCATAATCGGCCACAACAGCGGCCGAACTATTTGTGGTTCTGTAAGAAAGTGCAGATGTGGGGAATGAGGCTTTATTTTTTGTTGTTTCGATGACATAATTCTTTATTGACAGCATACATGTACGTCAATGTTATGAATAAATAATGATAAAAGAATAATTTTTCGTGATGACATCATCACCCCAGTAGCAATCATCGAAATAGTCACCTGTCCTTACATATGATCAGCACGTGGAATGTCTGCTTCCGATCTGATGCTTTGCATCAATACATATCATCTTGTTCAGAGTGTAATATGTAATTATATAGAGTACCTTTTAACGAGTGTATCTTCAGATATCAGACGAGGGGGCTTGTCTCCCGAGTCTGATATCTGAAGATGCACAAGTTAAAAGGTACTCTATATGTTTTGTAACATTGTTTTCAGGTATTAAGTTACCCATGATCTATCAATTTCACGTTATTAGCACGTAATTCAACTATATATTCTCATGCACTGAATTAGCCATGATCTATCGAAATTTCATCATACCATTTTATATAACCAATGAAAAAAGAGCACGTGATTCGAAAAGTATAGCGCGCTGTATTTCTTGAACTTTCTACCTCGTCCATTTATATTCTGAACGCCATGGATGGCGGTTGTGATTTTATGCTTTTGCAATTCTTATAGAACTTGAAACTTGAACTTGAAACATAGACACGGAAACCGAAATTATGAAGGAAAATTCCTTAGATCAGTTAGGAAACCAGATGCAGGTTGAAGATTCTTTGGGAAGTATGACGTTTGATCTACTAAAAATTGAACCTATTATGGATTTTGTATATAGGAGATATTTTAGACATGATGGCGTTAATTTCACCAGTTCCGAGGTCGACACGAAGACGAAAAATGGAAGGTTTGTACAAGTGTCCGATCATGAAATTCAGCTTTTGATAGACTTTAAAAAAATATCAACACTCGTAAATATACCAGATGGCAATTTAAACGTTCAGGCTAATCAAGAAGTAGCATGCGGCACGGGAAAATGTCCACTTTTGACCGAGATGAACAGCGATTCTCTAAATTACTGGATGCAGCGATTTGTGTTGGAATTAGAAAAAACAAAGGAATATCCACCTGTACTACACTGTGTGTGGTTTGTTACGCTTCAAGTTTATGCGAGACGAAAACGTTCATTTATAAAAATGTGCGTGTGTGAATTCCATTTTGGATTTAAAAATTGACGTGCAAAATTTAGATTGTTTTATGTAGACCTAAGGAAAGGTAAACCTTCACTACTGTATGTTTGTATGTGTTTGTGTTTTGCTTATAAAGTCAGGTACTTTGTTTATATTCTTTTTCTTTATCAATGTAAGGTCAAGGGTCATTGGAATTGTTGCATAACTATACCCTGGCGTGTTCTATCTTGATAGAGCATAGTTGTTAGAGCACAGTTAGTCATGGTGTATCAAAAATAAAAGCACAGTGGACATCAAAGGAAAAACACCGCAGCAATGATGCAATGATTTTTAGCAAATGTTTGTCGACGAATCAGATTCATACAATTTACAGCGATCGTTTTTTTTTATTTTAATTTATTTTATTACAATACATTCTTGCATCCAGAGAGTAAGTTATTAAAGATGCATAAGAATAAAAAAAAAATCATTCTTTGTTTTCACAGGGATGAATTTTGCAACGTTGCAGGAAAATACATGTGTATGCCATTTTTTTCCTATAGTGAAAGCAACCTTTCACCTCATACGTGTATATATGCAAAATATTTGTATATTTACCTTTAAGCAACAGTTTCAGAAAATAATAAATAAAAACCCAAATGAAGAATAAATTATTTCGCAATGTAAACCTCTACTTCTTCAGCTTTCTTCATACTAGCCAGCCAGTGAACGGAAATCGTAATTTAATTTAGTAAGTCTGTTATATGAATTAGCAAATGGTACGAAATAAGTCCGAATGGACTTTACAGGATTTTTAATTTTTTTTGCTTGTCAAGAAATTTTCTGGACTTCATACGTTTGGGAAAATAGTTTATTTTTTGTTTGTTTGTTTTGATTTTTTTTTTTTGGCATGTCAAGAAATATCTGGATTTTTGGACTGGGTAGACCACCCCTTGGAAAACATTCCTGGAACCGCGCCTGCAGACAGTGACAATTGATTAAAGAATAATAAAGAGTTTGAAGAGCAAATCTTTAATAAAGTATTCATAAGAATATAAAAATGAGAAAATTTAAACTTGTATGTATATCAAATTGAATTTGCACATAAAAAGAGAGAAAAAAGATGATACAATTTTTTGAAAGTTCTAATGTAACAGATCAAGTTTACAGAGGGAAATGATTTGTATTTATTTGATGTTCTTTAATAGTTTGTCTTTTTCAATTCCTCAGCGATAGTTTCCATCAATCTTATCGCCTTAAACTTGCTCTCCTCGTCTCCTTTCGAAATTCCTATCAGACACGCTTGAATGGTATTCATCGCGAGCAGAAACGGCATGTCTGCTTTTTCTGTTCCGGAAGCCTCGTTTTGGTCCTCCTTACTTTTCTTGAAAACTAAGACATCCTCTACTTTTCTAAGGAAATTATATTTCTTTCCCTCACAGCGACATCCCTCGGTGAAGAATTTTTCGTTGTCATCATAGTTGGAAATTATATGTCGGACCTCCTCGGGAGTTGCCGTCATTTCTTCCGATACGGCCCAAGGTTCTCCGTTTGATTTTCCATAGATTCCGCATTTCTCCATGTTAGTTTTATCTCCGATCAGGCGTTCGATCCATGTAGACCAAGATGAAGACATGATGAAAATGCTGAATCTGGAGGTAGATGAAATAACTGAGAAATTAAATATTATACTGAGCTAAAATTAAGATAAAAATCGTTAAAAGATAGAGTGGGAAAAGGTGACATGATTCTTTTTTTTTTTTTTTTTTTTTTTTTTAGATCCGAACTGCATACGTAGTTATAATACATTATACGCAGTTTTATAAATATTATGCAAATAAAATTTTACAATTACAGATTTTAATAGCAAATTTTGATTACATTGCAATTTCTATTTTTTCCCATAATGTTAATGCTAATATTGCAATGTTGAACATGTTGAATGTTAGGTAGATAACATGTACACATGTATAAGAATAAATTGAAAACTGGTGAACTAAAACCAATACTTGGAGATTATCGCAGGCACATGTACAATGTAAGGATAGCGGATGTGTCAACGGAAATTAATATATTCTTTCATGTTCTAAAATAATTAGTAACAATTTGACAAGGAAATTTTTTTGTCCTTGGTATTTTTTTTTATTATCTTACCCAATTCTTTACAATACCTTGAAGACGAGAAGTAGGAAGAAATCATACAATTGGCGTTCTTTTTCCAGTTTTTGTTTCTTTGGGGGGAAACATGTGTTATTATGGTGCAAAATGTAACAGAATAAATAAGCCTATGTTAAAGCGAGAGACACAATGGATATGAGCGGCTTCCTTGGTAAACTGGTTAGATAAAAATATACATTACACGACCGCATATAGGAAACACTTATTTTTTTAAAGGAGGGGGGGGGGGGTTACAACCAAACATTTTCAGTTTGAAATGGGTGTACTATATGTATCAAACAAAATTAAATTGAAAAGCAAAAGAAAAAAAAATTGTTAAAAAAAATATAAGAAAATCAGATGTTATCAGACGTTGAGGGGCGCAAACATGAAGTAGCTATATTTTGTACATCATACCATACATCTTTAAAATTAGGGAGAAGCGTACCCCCCCCACCCACTCCCTACGACCCCCCCCCCCCTCCCGGTCCCCATCTTAGATTCAGTTTTGCAAAGAAAATAAATATGAAATCTGTGATAAATTTGAATGAATAAAAAGATAATACATGAATATGTAAATAACTCCTTTTCTTTTGGTCACTTAAAAGATAAAATTTACAAATTTGATGGAAAGCATGCCCCGAAACAGGTACAGGTTATTAATTAATTGTTCAATAATAGATTTTAAGTTTTTTCCCCTCAAACTCACCTCTAAAAGCAATCCTCCTGTAATCAGACAGAGCCTTGTAGGAAGGAAACACAGAATGCCGGAAAATAATGGCGGAAATGTCACATGTTTAAGTAGCAAGCTAGATGAACATCAATACAATCTTCAGCGAATTCTATTCAAATTTTATCATAATATTGTAAATAGTGTTCTTAATAATGCATTATGATAAAAGAATTAACAAGCCAATGTAATGGAAATAACTAATTAAAAAATGAAAAACTATTTGTCAGAAAAACTTCCTTCTTTCCCGAAAGGTGATAAAATAGGAGATATTATTTTCAAAGACTGGTACCGGTGTCAGCGAGGATTGGACATTTTGTAGTTTTAAAAGCACTCTTCATGGATATAAGATAAAACTAGCACAATCCATTGTAAGAAAATTTGTACACATCATCGGGAAAATATATATTTGAAGTCCCTTTTAATCTTTTTTTTATTATTATTTTAATATCTTATTCTAAAAAAGATTCTATCTGATGTTAGCGAAGTCGCATATTCTTTAACTTTAAAGACTAGCATGAAAAGCAATTTTTTACAATCTGTTCATCTTTTAAGAATATTAATAACGCCTCGACTGGGTCCTTATCTTTAGTTTAAAACTTTATAAGTTAATTTAATCTTTATCTCATCCTAGGTCCCGTTTTACAAAAGAACAAAATGTAATTTTGCGAATTTAAATTTTTTTTTTTTTCTGAGTAAAGTAAAATATTTTTATGCTAAAAAATTTTAATATATAAGAATCATAATTATGCAAGACTTTAAACTTAACTCAAGTTTTTGGTCTTAGTCGCACTCTCTTTTGTTAAAGGGTCCCCTGATTTTAAATGTACTCTAGAAAGTACATGTAACTAATTTTTATGCTCCCCTTCGAGGAAGGGAGGGCATGTTGCTTTGCTGCTGTCTGTCTGTCGGTCCACCAACAGTTTCCATTCATTTTTTTGCAGAGTTGTACATACTGAAATGAAATGAAATATACAGATTTATCATAAGAATATATAGGTCAAGTTATATTTTGGGTACGATCGAGCAATTTTTTACAGAGTTGTGTCCCTTGGACTTAGAAAAATTCCAATTATTTGCAATTCCCTTCATTTTCTTTGCAAATGCTGCACGTACTGAAATGAATATGGTATTCAGAATTATCAAAAGAGTATCTATAGGTCAAGTTCTGTTTTGGGTACGATCGAGCATTTTTTGACAGAGTTATGACCCTTGGACTTAGAAATATTCCAATTATTTGCTTTCCGTTCATTATCTCTGAAGAGGTTGAACAAATTAATTACTGATATATCATGTGAAACGTGTTTTTCCAAAGATTTGATGTAGAAGACTATTTCTTGTTGATGCATCTCAGATAGTACAGGGACATAATCCCTATTGAATTTAAGTTCAAAAGGTCAATTTCATTTCCATGTACACTGCCCTTAATATATACTGCCCATAATAAAGGCTTGTGCACCCTATAATGTATGTCCAAGTTGGGGGATAAGTGTTTCACAAACATCTCTTGTTTTCCTTTGTTGTGCTTGTACTATACATGTACAAGAATAAATGAAAGTGGAATGAAGCACAAATTCTTTTGGTATACATAAAAACTATTCATCTGGATCAAACTGCTTCGGCCAAGAATGCACTTTGCATCTTTTAAAATTCGAATGTAAAATAAAAAAAAATTAGGGCGAGAATAAAGATACAATCCTTAATGTTTCCAAAGAAAAAGAATTCTGTGTGAAATGACAGAGATTGTATCGTCTTTCTCATTTTTAGTTAACCTTGTAAGATGAAATTCGCCGAAACTTGTAAATTATAAACTCTTGTTAAATTCTTTCACGTTATTTTCACATCTGAGTGACTTTATAAGACTGAACAACAGATTTAATTACAATTCCTATGGTGTTTTATGAATAATTTGAGACAAATATTCAGAAGTCTCTGCATTAATATAATTAAAGGCATCCGATATCCCGAGATTGCATATCGGAGGTGATTCCAGATGCGGATCCCGGATTTTTTTTCCAAGGGAGGGGGTGTCCACATAGAAAAAAAATCCAACAACACAGAAATTTGCTGACCGGCAAAATGAAAAAAAAAAAAAAATAATAATAATAATAATAATAATAAAAAACCTGTTAACTCAAACTCCTTTCCCAAATTTGAAAAGGGGGTGGGGTTGAACTGCTAAACTTCGATATGAATGGTTCACCTTTTCTGAAAGGGGGGGGGGGTCATTTTATAGTTACTTTATTAACTCAGCAAATTCCAAGGGTGGAGGGGTCCAACCCACTCTAGATCCTCGCATGGATTTCATATCACATATTATGTACGAATTCAAGTAAACCTTCTAATTACATACTCTGTATGCAAAATTTTATTTCTATTCTTTTATGCTGATCATATGTAGAATGAATCAGGTCAATGCTGCTAAATACATTTGTACAGTATCTACATGTATGCTACATGTACCAATTGTAGTTATACTACAGAAAGTATACCCTCTGCATTTCAAAATTGTAATTTTTAGGTATGTTCAATTGTTTTTGTACTAATATGTATTTGAAAAATAATTTCTAAATTAAAATTCAAGGGAACATATCACTTGTATTGAAATGATTGATACTTCAGAAATTGGCCTATGCTACTTATATCTTCATAATAATAAATATGCTTGCCTCCAAAATTACTTGAATATGTTTACTGAGTGTTACCCATTCGATATGGGTTTTTTTTTGGTGAAATGTTTAAATGCTTAATCTTTCCTACTCTGATGAACCTAAAAGAAAATGATACTTGATAGTGCAGCTGTATGTAAATATTATATATTAATGTGAATGTTACTTTATTTTAGACTAATAAGTAAACAAAAAGTTTAAAATGATGTATGAAATGCATCATTATACAAATATTTCTAGTGTTCTATTTAATTGTGCCTGACTACACCTATTCTAAAACCGCTCTTTACAAAAAAAGAAGTTTTTCTATGTAATCTGAAATCCGAATACCCCTTTATGTAAGGTAGGCAGTGAATGAAGAAAACGGGTGCAGTCACAAGAAAAAAATCAAGGTGAATGGAATATGGGAAAGAAGCGCCATTGAAGACAATATGATCTTTACTTGCAAACAACGCCTCTGAAGCTTAGTCGGGTAATATTATGATATTCCACTATATTTTAAGACGAATATATTTACATGCATATGAAGAATTAAGGAATTTATTTTATTGTAAACTACGTAGGATGAATTCTCTTTAGATAAAGACGGAAGTGGGCGTTTGGATTTTTTTTTTTCACCGTAGAAAAAAGATTTAGCGTTTTTCATGTGTTATGTATTTTATTAAGACAAACACATCAATCAATGCTAACCAAAGTTTTTTATCAGCTTTATTCACCACACATAGATAGATACACATACATACATTTTGCCAGCTGACTATAGTCGTAAATATCACCTGTCAATTTAATTGTCAACAGGCAACGTTGTTGAGTCTTGATCCAAGTTTATCTCTCACCGAAGTAATTTTACAATTTATAGACGACCTACACTAAGAGAAATTTGAATCTACACCGTTAAATTCACGTTTTGTTTTATGATACTGACATGGGTGTAAGAGTCAGATAGATTTTAGCATTTCTATTGTCAACTCTCCTTATTTATGTAGCAATATACCCCCATTACCTACATATAGTGTTTAAATGTAT